TGGCTGTTAACCTCTTACCCCCTCAGGGGGTATAAATAAATTTCTGCCTGACAAAAACACACAAAAGTAAATCACTTATAGCCTCACAGCTATTAGATTTAAGAAGAAACTTTTGGTACGTCTGTAAAGGTAAGATGTCATGAATGGTTTTCTGGTGTCAGCAGCATTGTAGCTTTGACCCTGCCTGAAATATTAGGGACAAAAGACTAAATATTTTGCATTTTTTGAACCTCGCCAAAATTTTCTTTGAAATAAACATTGCAAAACACTACCAAAATATTATTTATAGCACAAAAAAGTAGTACAGACTTTTAAATCTAAATGTTGTGTAAAAATATACCACATTTGGACTCAATCGGATGAATCATATTTATTTTAGAATGTTATTAAAAACAATAACATAAAAAATTCTCACATGGATGTAATGTATCTATTTGCTACGGAAGAGGATTAGGGCCACTGAAAAAAAAAAAAGTTAACTGATTTTTTTTATTTTAATTTTTATTTTTATAGAATTCTGACTTTTTTCTCAGAATTCTGACTTTAATGTCAGAATTCTGACTTTTTTCTCAGAATTCTGACTTTTTTTATTGTCAGAATTCAGTCAGAATTCTGAGAAAAAAGTCAGAATTCTGACTTTAATGTCAGAATTCTGACTTTTTTCCCATGTTAAACTGAAATAAAATTTAAAAATCAGTTTACTTTTTTTTTTTTTCAGTGGCCCTAATCCTCTTCCGTAATTTGCAGACCAGCCATGGATATGAAAATACGGAAGAGGATTAAGGCCACTGAAAAAAAAAAGTTAACTAAATTTTATTTCAGTTTAATATGAGAAAAAAAGTCAGAATTCTGAGTAAAAAAGTCAGAATTCTGACTTTTTTCCCATATAACTGAAATAAAATTAAAAAATCAGCTTACTTTTTTTATTTTTCCAGTGGCCCTAATCCTCTTCCGTATGTAAATGATCTGATCTATCAAAAAATTGTCTAGAAGGGGCACTAGTGGGCTTACACTGCAAAAAATCTAAATCTAGATAAGTCATTTTTTCTTAAAATAAGTGCATTTGTACTTGGATTGAAGAGGTAAAAGAGACATTTTGCCAATGGAACAAGACAATTTACACTTAAAAAAAAGAACACACAATTTCATTGTCTTATTTCAAGTGCATTTTATCTAATTATCTTATTTTAAGAGTAAAATTACTCATTCCATTGGCAAACTATCTCATTTACCTACTCAAATTAAGGGTGAATACACTTAATTTAAGAAATTTTAACTTATTTCTAGATCGTTTTTGCAGTGTACTGTATGCAGTGACACCCCTATAAATGATTCTAGGTATATTTTATATTTTTTTTTTTTCTTGAATCTTCATTCTTTGTTATATTATGTTGTAATTTCTGTCCTGCTTTTATAAAGGCATTCTATATTTCTACACTGATTTTCATTATATTCAACTTTTTATCATTTTCAGTGAAATATTAAAAAAAGACCATGACTTTTTTTGTTTATTTTCTTTTTTCTGGTTTTGTTATTTTATTCAAATTTTTATGTAGCTTTTAACTTGATGAAGTTTTATTTCTTGGTTTTAATATAATTTGTTTGTCACAGTTTTAATCAATTTTTTTGAATAAAATCTAACTTTTTCATTTTTTCCCATCCAGCTTACACAATATTTTCCATTCCAACTTTTATGTTTTCTTGTATAACTTATTGCTCTGATTACATTTTGAGTAAATTCCAGATACTGTTGGTGATTTTCTTTGTATCACATCTTAATGCTATATTCCTTATTTTATCCTGAGTTTGTTTCTGTTTTTATTCTGTTTGTTTCATTTTTCTGGAAGCAATTATTAAAGTTTCATTTATTAATTTCTTTGTAAAATTTTCAAAAGGAAAACTGATGTAATATCCTGACCACATCACATATGCATTCAACACTCTCTGAAGCTCTGTCCTTGCAGAGAAAGAATTGGAAAATTTCTACATAAAGTTACCATAAAATGTCCCAAGTCTACGGCAGCTGATTACAGTTAAACAGGTTCTCTTAATTAAACTCAGGTTTAATTCAATTCTATTCAATTTAAAAAAGCGCTGCACAGTGTCACACTGCTGCCTTGCAGCAAAAAGGTTATGGGCTTGATTCCCAGCTGGGGGCCTTTCTGAGTTTGCATGTTCTCCCTGAGCATGCGTCGGTTCTCTCCGGGTACTCCGTCTTCCTCCCACAGTTCAAAAACATGACTGTTAGGTCAATTGGCTTCTTTAAATCCTCCGTAGTTATGAGTGAGTGCGTGAATGGTTGTTTGTCCTGTTTGTCTCTGTGTTTCACTGCAATGGACTGGCGACGTGTCCAGGGTGGACCCCGCCTCTCACCCTTTGACAGCTGGAGATGGGCACCAGCACCCCTCGCGACCTAAGCAGGAATTAGCATGATGGAAAATGGATGGATGGATGGATATGTTGCACATGCACACGGCTGGGGTGTGATTTTGTGTGTTAT